CTGGGTGCCAAGGCTGCGGTGGCGGCAGCCGGGGTGCCCAGGCTGCGGCAGCGGCGGCTGGGGTGCCCAGACTGCAGCGAAGGCTGGAGTGCCCAGGCTGCGACGGCTTGCGGGGTGCCCAGGCTGTGGCGGCGGTTTCCTGGGTGCCCAGGCTGCGGCAGCGGCGGCCAGCGTGCCCAGACTGCAGCAGCGGCTGGAGTGCCCAGGCTGCGATGGCTTGCGTGGTGCCCAGGCTGTGGCGGCGGCTTCCTGGGTGTGAAAGCTGTGGCGGCAGCCGTGGTGCCAAAGCTGTGACGGCGGCCGGGTTGTCCAGGCTGTGGCGGCGGCGGCCGGGGTGCCTAGGTTGCGGCGGCGGCAGCTGGGGTGCCCAGACTGCGGCGGCGGCGGCCGGGTTGCCCAGGCTGCGGCGGTAGCGGCTGGGATGCCCAGGATGCTGCGGCGTAGGCCGGGGTGCCCAGGCGACGGCGGCGGCTTCCAGGGTGCCAAATCTGTGGCGGCAGATGGGGTGCCAAAGCTGTGGCGGCAGATGGGGTGCCAAAGCTGTGGCGGCAAATGGGGTGCCAAAGCTGTGGCGGCGGCCGGATTACCCAGGCTGCGGCAGCGGTGGCCAGGATGCCCAGACTGCGGCGGCCGAGGTGCCCAGGCTGCGGCGGCCGGGGTGCCAATGCTGCGGCGGCGGCGACTTGGGTGCCCAGGCTGCGGCAGCCGCGGCCGGGGTGCCTAGGTTGTGGTGACGGCAGCCGGGGTGCCCGGACTGAGGCGGCGGCTGCGGCCGGGGTTTCCAGGCTGCGGCGGCGGCGGCTTGGGTGCCCAGGCTGCGGTGGCGGCTGGGGTACCAGGCTGCGGTGGCGGCTTCCGGGGTGTTAAAGCTGTGGCGGCAGCCGTGGTGCCAAAGCTGTGACGGCGGCCGGGTTTCCCAGGCTGTGGCGGCGGCAGCAGGGGTGCCCAGACTGCGGCGGTAGCGGCTGAGGTGCTCAGGCTGCTGCGGCGGCGGCCAGGGTGCCCAGGCTGCGGCGGCCGAGATGCCCAGGCTGCGGCGGCCGAGGTGCCCAGGCGGCGGCGGTGGCCGGGGTGCCCAGGCTGCGGCGGCGGCGGCTTGGGTGCCCAGGCTGCGGCGGCGGCGGCTTCCGGGGTGCCAAAGCTGTGGCGCAGCCGTGGTGCCAAAGCTGTGAAGGAGGTTTGGTTGCCCAGGCTGCGGCAGCCGCGGCCGGGGTGCCTAGGTTGCGGTGGCGGCAGCCGGGGTGCCCAGACTGCGGCGGCCGGGGTGCCCAGGCTGCGGCGGCGGTGGCCGGGGTGCCCAGGCTGCGGCTGCGGCTTCCGGGGTGCCAAAGCTGTGGCGGCAGATGGGGTGCCAAAGCTATGGCGGCGGCCAGGGTGCCCAGGCTGCAGCGGCGGCCGTTGTGCCCAGGCTGCTTCGGCGGCGGCCGGGGTGCTCAGGCTGCGGCGTCCGGGGTGCCCAGGCTGCGGCGGCGGCTTTCGTGGTGCCCAGGCTTCGGTTGCGGCGGCCGGGGGGCCCAGGCTGCGGCGGTCAGGGTGCCCAGGCTGCGGCGCCGTCTTCCGGGTAATGCAGCCTGATGTGACAATAACATCTACCTTGTCTACAGTTCTGAAGTACTTTGGCAAAATGTTTTGCTGTTGCCACAACGAAAGCTGGCCATGGGACACCCACTTCTGCATTAGGTAAATTTGCATTGTGTGGCTCTGACCTCTTCCTCAGTGCCATTTTCGTACAGTTGTCCATAAACTGTCTCCACCTCCATTCTCAAACTAGACGTTGTGATATCATATGCAAGGCTTTGCTGCACTAAGCGACGTCTATTCGCCTTTGCCATGAAACCCTATGCACTTTGTCTGCCCCTCAACACTTAGCCATCTGTATAGATAATCACATCACTTTGGCGGGAATTGTCATGAATCATTTGTTGAACTTCTGATTCTGCAGCACCAGCTGGCCAGTATCCGCACTCACGGCCTAAAGTAATTAGAACCCTACACAAGTCTGAAACTTGTTCGGACACCTTGACCCACTCCTTTCCTCGCTCAAATTGATCAAGCCTGCACACATGCCCAATGAACCCATGAAAGAACCTATGAATATGTGAAGTAAATAAGTTCAGAAATTTGACTGAGAATGATAATACATCAATAGGACCTTCTGCAACAACACGGGAGACCCACGGCAACTCACTGACAAAACAGATGATGTTGTTTTTGTTGTCTGTGTAAGCGCGTATAGTGCATGTGTTTGCACGTGTGATAAAGTCGACAGTCTTGACCTCGCCCAAAATTTGGATCAATTTCCTGAAAAGTAAAGGCGGCCGGAAAAAGAATCCCCATCGATGCCACATATGTATTGATCTAGACCATCCATGTTATCCCAGTGTAGAATATGTCCCAGGAAACTTCTTTGGAAGTAAAGGTGACCAGGATAATTTTGACCACATCAACAAATTAGCCTTTAAACATAAGGATGTAGCACTATTTGTCCGAAACGCATTTGGCATCAAAATGGTTCGTCATTTCTCTTACTTGCTGCCCCAGCTCTCAGTAAGTAGTTAAACTGTTTTGAGAGTATTCACCGAGCCCTCAGCTTCCTATTTATGTACCCAGCGACCACGTATGAGTTCGGGAATAAACCCGATCAGAGTCTGTATGGCCTCAGCTTCCTATTTATGTACCCAGCGACCATGTATGAGTTCGGGAATAAACCCGATCAGAGTCTGTATGGCCTCAGCTTCCTATTTATGTACCCAGCGACCATGTATGAGTTCGGGAATAAACCCGATCAGAGTCTGTATGGCCTCAGCTTCCTATTTATGTACCCAGCGACCATGTATGAGTTCGGGAATAAACCCGATCAGAGTCTGTATGGCCTCAGCTTCCTATTTATGTACCCAGCGACCATGTATGAGTTCGGGAATAAACCCGATCAGAGTCTGTATGGCCTCAGCTTCCTATTTATGTACCCAGCGACCATGTATGAGTTCGGGAATAAACCCGATCAGAGTCTGTATGGCCTCAGCTTCCTATTTATGTACCCAGCGACCATGTATGAGTTCGGGAATAAACCCGATCAGAGTCTGTATGGCCTCAGCTTCCTATTTATGTACCCAGCGACCATGTATGAGTTCGGGAATAAACCCGATCAGAGTCTGTATGGCCTCAGCTTCCTATTTATGTACCCAGCGACCATGTATGAGTTCGGGAATAAACCCGATCAGAGTCTGTATGGCCTCAGCTTCCTATTTATGTACCCAGCGACCATGTATGAGTTCGGGAATAAACCCGATCAGAGTCTGTATGGCCTCAGCTTCCTATTTATGTACCCAGCGACCATGTATGAGTTCGGGAATAAACCCGATCAGAGTCTGTATGGCCCAGAGATGTTTTATATATATCCAAATAGATTGGTATAATTACCAGTGGGAACTTACGTCCAATATATTTTTCAAATGACAATTTTATAATTTTAGTACGATTTAAGATGTACATGTAACTGTGTAGTTTCTCTCTATTATGTAAAGGTAAAGTCGGAAGACGTGAACACGACATTGCACACGGTTATAAACCATAAGTACTCTGCCACCAGTACAGACAGCTGATAAGAAATTGTCCGCCTGTGTCGCCGTCCGCATGAAACTCCGTAGCTACAGCGACGTTCCTCCATTGACCTCAGAGTGTCAACTCTGGTACCCATTTCCTAGAGGCTGAGTGAACCCCGGGAATCGCCTGGTTTCGAACACCGACTGTCGCTGCAACCAGTCGCAGCTGCATCTATTATGTAAAAGTTATTGTGTAACGGCATTAGCTTCAGTGGTTGATGTTAACGTGCTTTCAGTATTTACTGATGGCATTTTACAATAGTTTGATGTCAGTAAAAATCTACAATTTCCTTTACCATACTTGCAACATGTATGCTGATTTAGCATCATTGCTACCGGTGGGATGCAATTTTGTGTTTGAAGCTCTACCCTGGCTTCTGCCGGGGGCCTTAAATATAGCCGGTGCATTAATATAGCCTAGCGGCCGAAAGGGGCTTCTGTGACCTCTCCACTGGTGATCCTCATCCATATGGTGGCACTTTGTATCAACGGGTGTCAATCGCTTGTGTGATTTCCTGGTGGGGCGCAACTACCTACCAACCATTGCCACTAAAATCCTTGCTGTCAGACGCATTCTATACTAACACTTTTCATAATAATTTTAATAATCAATTATAATCTCTTTTCTTGTAATATATAATCAACAGTCTTACTTGCTTGGTCTGTGTGGCCTTCGTGCTATACAAAGAAACGTTTTTAGTCTGGGTTTATTATTTGGTTAACCATTTTAATATAAAGAATTAAAAGGCTAGTTGCGTATCCTTTACAGGACGTTGCAGAACCAACCCATTCGATGCAGTTCCTCATGTTGTGGCGACCCTTTAACTCTTTTATGCCCATGACTTGACCATGCCAACACACATGCCCAATGAACCTATGAATGAACCTATGAATCTGTGAAGTAAATAAGTGCTGTTGTGTGGTTTTTCTAGGCAAATACGTCCAGTAGTTTGCCATTGCCCCTGGACGGTCGGCTTTCTTAATACCACTGTCGAAACCAACGCAATGCGCATGGCCCGCAACTGGGATCGAACCCGGCATCCCGGCATTACGAAGCGTTCGCATCAACAGCCACAGAGCCGACAATATCAAGAATAGAGGACCTATAGTTGCAACAACTGTCTCAAGCTATTTGCCCCCTTCATTTTGCGTTAACTGTGTGGTCGGCATGTTGTGTTGTGGTTATTAATTTGTGGACTGAAAATATGGCTTTCTGCTTGCACTATCGAGTCCGCCATTTGTTATAATTTGTCAAGTGAACAGTTCTTTATGTTTTGTTGAATGATTTATTTATCATTTATTAACTTGCGAACGTTGTAACTCACAATTTGGCGAGAAAGCGTACAGCGAACAGGTAGGTGGTCGATAACGGTCATGTGACACAAAAACATAAACAATATGTCTCAACATGGCGCTGCCCATGGGTGTAGTGGCTGTGGAGAACACAATTGTTATTCTCACGCTGCAAATCCTTCCGTGCATCAAACTTTGGATGAGTTAGATTTCGACAGAGGACTTTGGAGCTCTGCTCTCGCTGGCGATAACGATGACCTTAAGAGAAAGTTGATACATAGCAAGGGAACAGATGTAAACAAAGTTGACAAGTCTGGCTACACCGCGCTTGTAAATAAACAATAAAATTAATAATAATATAATATATATATTATTAATATTTATTTAAAAATTGTATTTGTTGTTTATTACCAAGGAAGTCCCATTTACTGCTGTTTTGGTGTGTATGTATCCCTTCGTTTTTTATCTCACGGCTTAGCAAAAAACCTCAACTAAGACCTAGACTAGCTCATGTCCTCTGTAATGTGTCTTATGACTTGCAACTAATTTTGATATTTTCTATCCCTCCGTTATTGAGTCCATCATACTTACAGTTAGAGCAGTGGTTCTCAGTTTTTCTAATGCCGCGATTTAATACAGTTCCTCAGGCTCTCCTTTCAACTCGGGCCGTTAGCTGGACAGCCGCCGATCGCTTAGTGCTTCTCTCCCTTGGCTGCATTGCAAACACAGAGCAGAAAAGTCATGAATCAAATGACATACTTACCTATCATCATACAGTTGCGTAGTCATCATACGGTTGCGTAGGGTTTGGGTTAGGGTTAGCGGCGTTAGGGATAGATGTGACAATTTTGACGTAGGAGTTCCATATACTGGCCGACAATCTGATGCTTGTGGGAGTGGTGCCACTGGAATTCTCCCAAAAAGGACGGCAATAGCGCACAGCTGGTGCCCAATCGGGGGCGAATTGTCCGTTTGAGTAGCATCCACAGTCCTTCGATTGTTTGGGTGTGTATGTGACTGCGCGATTATTCGGAACTCCTGTGTCAAAATTGTCACATCTAACCCTAACCCTACTCCTAACCCTACCCCTAACCACGCAAATTTATCGGTCAGTGAGTCATACAGATCTGCAGGAGTCACATCCGTGGCAACTAATACCACGTTTTATTTATATATATATATATATATATATATATATATATATATATATATATATATATATATATATATATATATATATATATATATATATATATATATAAGAATATATTTACTTTAAAAAAAAACCAGATTTCCCCGAAACATCAAATAAACACCCAGATCTGGGGGACACACCCAAGCATTGGCAGCCCTGTTGTCGAGCTCACTGTCTTTTTTTATTTGTGACTTTTCTGCTCCGTGTTTGCAATGCAGCCAAGGGAGAGAACTCCCACTAAGCGATTGGTGGCTGTCCAGCTAACGGCCTGAGTTGAAAGGAGAGCCGTTCCTCATGTTGTGGCGACACTTTAATACAGTTCCTAATGTTGTGGCGACACTTTAATACTGTTCCTTATGTTGTGGCGACACTTTAATACTTCGGCTCTCCTTTAAATAACGGTCGCTAGTTGGAAGGTGAATGCCGCTTAGTCGGAGTTCACTCTCTTGGCTGCAGTGCAAATACGGAGCGGACAAGAAACGAATCAAAAAACAACGTGGGGTCGACATGCCTGCTAGAGCTAGACAATGCGCTGCGACTGACAGTAGCGACCGCGGTCTTGCGATGCAAGACTCTCGTAGACCACACGCTGCGACTCACATTAGCGACCGCGTTCTTCCGACCACGACTTAGTGTCCGTAGATGTGAGACCTGCTGATCTGTATGTCGTAATGAACGATAAGCTTCCGTCGTTTCCGTGATGTGTCACCCTAACCCTACCCCTAACCCTAACCCTACCCCAAATCCTAACCCAAACCCTAAGCCAAACCCTAGGATGACAGGTAACTATATAATTTGTTTCGTTTCCTCTTTACCACTCCGTATTTGCACTGCAGCCAAGGGAGTGAACTCCGACTAAGCAACCGTCGCCTTCCAGCTAGCGACCGTTATTTAAAGGAGAGCAATACTTCTTATTTGCGTTCACCAGCTGTACACTCTGGCGGAAAGTTCTGGTTGCTGGTCCACTACTGAACTGCAGTCCTGCTCCAGAACCTGAGTGTTGCGTGTGCATCAATTTTACAGATCTCATTCTCTTGAATACAGACTGTTGGTTCCTTGCCTCTCCGGCAGATGCACTCTGACTTCAAAGGAAGCTCCCCAATTAATCGACTCTTGCGACATGCTTTTGGGGAGGCAGTGGGTCTATTCTTGTTTTCCCCACAATGGGGCCCCGGAACCCACACGGGGGACTTTAATACTGTTCCTCATGTTGTGGTGACCCCCAACCATACAGTTATTTTCGTCGCTACTTCATAACTTCAATGAATAATTGTTTTGAGATGGTCTTTGGCGACCCATGTAAAAGGGTCTTTCAACTCATAGGTTGAGAACCGCTGAGTTAGTGGATAAGGTAGCTGAGCCTCCTTAAGAGCTCCCTATGATAAGTATAAATATGATAGTTTTTGATAAATTGCAGTGTTACTGTCATAGCCTGCTTCACTTTATGAGTCAAGTAAAATATGGGCATTTATACATCATCAAGATCTCGGCCTAATTAGATATTTGTAGTTAGCCACTTCTCTTCCTCACTACTCTTCTTTCCCAGAAAATTGTGTACATTACCACCTGCCCATTTTATGCAGCACTGTTTAAGAAGTTCTGCCATTGTTGAGAAATGAACTAACACTACTGTTGTGGTTAAGCACGTGAACCAGCCATGATACTATCATCATCATGTAGCAGGTCCTCTGTAGAACGTCGCTCTCATCAGAGCCTACCTGAGAGAAACTTGGTCTCCTGCCAGCTCTCCCACCTCTTGTGCTTTCTCACCCAAGGTGTCTTCCGCATTCTGTCCCCATCTTTGTGCTCGTCATCCCTTATCTCTCCTACCCAATACCATAGGCTTTGCTACTATTCTTTTCGATCATGATACTTCTTATTTATTCTTGTTTGTGTTCACCAGCTGTAGTTTAGTGTAAGCCACGATGGAAAGTTCTGGCTGTTCATCCGTCTCTGGATTCCAGTCCTCTTCCAGAACGAGTGCCATTTGCATATCCATTATACTCATTTGGAATGCTTTTCAGCTGTGCCCAGCATGGTTTATGTTGTGATCTACAGATTCAGAAAATGGTGAATGGTCTTTTGCCAGAGCACCTGTGGTGCCTTATATGATTAATTGCTTGTGCAACTACTGATCTTTTGTTCATTGGCTTTTATTGCCCATATATGCCTCTGGCCTTACTGAGACTGCAGCCTGTGTCAGTTTTGTTCACAAGGCATTCTGAGTGGTTTTCATTGGCACAGGGACAGAGCAGCATCTTCAGGGTGACCCATTTGCTACGAAGTTGGAACTACAATTACCTGACTACACTGGTTGTAAAAAATGTTGGCTAGCATGCTTACTTGGTCATCATGTGTTCAAACCCCCCAGAGGTGAGGAAGTTAAGGTGGTCAGTGTGAGACTTAAACACGGAGATACAAAGGATTTGAAAAATGGTGGCTAGCACCATAAACCTAATGCAGTTAGTTTATATACCACCACTGGGGTCCCGTTATGGGGAAAACCAGAATAGACCCACTGTCTCCCCAACAAGCATGTCGCAAGAGACGACTAATTGGAAGGCTTTTTTCCTTGAGAGGCAAGGATGATGATGATGTTGACTTTCTACCCCACTAGGACATCACACAAGCGATAAACACCCGATGACACAAAGTGCCACCATGCGGATGAGGATCACCGTGGAGAGTTCCCAGAAACCGCGTTCAGACAATTGGCCATATTGATGGCCTGCCTATATTGCGGCCCCTGGCAATAGCCAGAGTGGGGCTTCAAATAACAAAAAATGACGTCCTAAAAAGGACGTAATTGAAGTATATCAATGCTACAGAGAGGCAAGGAACCAACAATTTGCATATAAATAAGCAAGATCTGTAAAATGGATGTACACACAAAACTCAGGTCAAAGACAAAGCCAAAGTCCAGAAATAGAGGAACAACCAGGTCTTTCCACCAGGGTTTACAGCTGGTAAATGCAGACAAATCTTTCCAGCCTCAAATGGGTACAAGGTAATTCCCTAGGAAGTCAGTATTATGTTAACCACATTACCTACCGAGTACCGAATGGTCTGTAAAAAATATTGACTATAGCATTACATGTCTCACCAGCCACTACCTTAAAAAGGTCCATTACATTCATTGCCAGCACTATGCCTGTAGAAATGGGCAACTGGAAACCTGCAAGATTCTTCTGACTTACCAAGCAGATGTCAATGCAACAACCCAATCAAGTAAGGCAACTCCCCTTCACAGAGCATCTTACATGGGCCATTCTGAGATTGTCTCCCTTTTGCTTCAACATAATGCTGATCCAAGAAGTGCTGACTGTGATGGTATGACCCCGCTGCATAAGGTAATTAGAAAGGTTTTCATGAATTGTATTTTTAATAGTTGTATTGGCAGAACAACTACTAGTTGTTGAGAAATATTGAATGTATGATTGAATAGTTGTTGTTGGGTTGTTGCTTTTTCCAACTCTATCAATCCTAGACAGTTGTTCCTGCAACACTTCTTTCCTTAAATCTATATACTGTATTCAACTAATTCCCATCCCAATGTGGGACAGAAAATCTTTATTTTCACGCCCCACCTCTAATGTAGTCGGAGGTCCTAATATAACCTAACGATTGAACAGAGTTTCTGGGACTTATGTCTGGGTGATCATCATCCGAATGGTGGCACTTTGTGTCACGGGGTGTTGGTAACTCGTTGTGCACAGACTGTTGGTTCTTTGCCTCTCAGGCAGATGCATTCCGACTTCAAAGGAAATGTCCCTAATTAGTCACTTTGTAAAACATGCTTGGGGGGGGAGGGGGTGGGGGGGAGGCAGTGAATCTTTTCTTCTTCTCCCAAAATGGAACAGTGGAACCCACATGCAGACGTCTATATTTAACTTCTGTAATATATTCTTCATCTGCTGTTTAGAGCAGCGGTAAGTAGCTAGAAACTTGCTGAAGGCCCAAAGGTCGGTGGCTCATACTGACGCAGGGCAAATTTGGAAGCAAAAAGACATAGACCCACTGTTCCGCTACCAAGCATGTTGTAAAAGCCACTGCTTAGGGCATTTCCTTCAAAGTCAGTGCATCAGCCTGAGAGTTGAGGTACCAACAGTCTGTATATCTTTAAGCCAGATCTGTAAAACGGATGTAAACACAAAACTCAAGTTCTGGAACAAGACCAAAGTCCAAAAGTGGATTAACAACCAGAATTTTGTGCTGGAGTTTATAGGTGAAGAAGAAGAAGGAGAACTTTTTAGTTTTACATCTGTTTGTCAGGGAACTCAAACACCTGACTTTATTGGCTTGCTTCAGGCTGGCCAGATTTTTTACCAGTAAATGTTTACTTCTGCTTTCAGGCTGCTGAGAATGATCACGCAGAAACTGTAAAAATTCTCATTAAGGCAAATCCTGATGTAGCGAATGTCAAGGACAACAGATTCAGGAAACCCGTTGATCTAGCTAAGTCTGACCTTGTCAGGACAATCTTGTCAAGTATGGCTCCAGATCATTGAAGTATCCTGTTTAATTAATTGAAAATGGTTAAAAATATCTTGTTAAAAAAGGGATGAAATGTAACTGTCAGGGTCCCTGCATTGATTCAAGAGCCCCATTGTGGAGAGAAAAAGAATAGACCCTTTTTTTCCTCCCTAACAAGCATGTCATATAAAAGTCGACTGATTAAGGAAGTTTCTTTCAAAGTTGGAGTGCATCTGCCTTAGAGGCAAAGAACCAACAATCTGCAAATAGACCAAACCTGTAAAACAGATGTGCATGCAAAACTCAAATTCTAGAACAAGACCAAAATCCAGAAGTGGACAAACCAGAGCTTTCTGTCGGAGTTTGCAGCCAGTGAACACTAAGAAGAAGAGTGTCGGGGGGGGGGGGGGGGGGGGGGGAATATTTAGAAAATCTGTTGATCTAGCCAAGTCTGACTATCAAAGCAGATGTATCATGTATCACTCAGGATCTTTGATGACCAGTAAATTTAAAGGACCCTTTTCAATCTTGTGGTGCATCAGGTATGTAATGCTAAGCCTATATTTTGAATCGCTCAGTCGGCAGTCAATGAATAGTGTCATCAACATCACTCCAGCCACCTTTACCTTCCAGGACATTACCTAGTACCCACTTTAGGCTTGTTTAACTGCAGCTGTCCAGTGGCTATAGAACAAGATGCATACACATGTCATAATTGTAACTGACTCTGAAAGCATGCTGAGAAAGATGAAGACAGGGATGCTTCGAGCAGAAAGGCAAGCTTCACTGGGAAGGTCACGGGTAGTTAGCATATGTTGGATTTTTTCTCCAGGCTATGCCGACGTAGTGGGTAATGAACAGACAGACAGATTGGCTGGATCTGTACCACTAGATGGTGAATTGATACATGACAAGGTAGATGTGGTCAAGGTCCTATGGGAACAAGCAACGGAATTAGTGGAGAAACAAGATTATTATCCTGGAGAGAGTGAGGCACCTGGGTGTAACCAGAAGATCTGGCCGGCTCACTACACTCAGAAGAAAGGCAAGAGGGACATATAACCAGATTGTGACCGGTACCATCAGTGTTGTAACTCTGCGCTGGCTGCTGAAGATGAGGACGGAGAACACATGGGAATGCCCTGAGTGCTGTGATGTCAATTCTTGACTCAACTCAACTGTTCAGCCTGAGAGCCCTGATCAGTTTTGAAGAAGAAAAAATCTGCTTTAGTGCATGTTTGAATCCGTGACCTTCAGGCTGGCAGGCAAGTGTCTAGCAGCTGCAGTATCACAGGTTCCATCTCTTTCATGGCCAGACATATATTATTTAACTCAGTCTATCCTATGTTGAATGTTAAATAAAGAAACAACATCGCAGCACTCAGAACACTCCCATAAGTGCTCTGACCCCTGTCTTCAGTAACAGGCAAAGAGTTCCAATTCCGATGGCCCAGTAACCATTGTATATCCATCTCATCCTTCCCCTGAGTGTTGAACCTCGGCCACATCCCCTGGTAACTCCTGGCAGCGCCATTCGCTACAGATCATGATGATCTGTCTGCGCCTCCACACCTTTCACCCGTTCCCAAAGGGCCCTTACAATATTTAGCTTGACATACTCAGTTCACCACCAAGTGGTGCAGAACCAGCCAGTCTTTCTGCCTGCTCATTTCCCAACACATTGGCATAACCTGGATAAAAAATCCAAAGGTGCTTAAAAAAACACACACTTTACCAGCTATCTTGTTTATTAACTATGAAGAAGAGGAAAAAAAGAACATAAATGAGTTAATAAATTGAAAAGTAAAATGTCTAAGAAAGGATGGCATGAAGTATCAGTGTCTTACAAGGGGCCAAAAGGCACATATTTAACAACCTGACAAGAAAGAAACAACACTGCACGTGAGAGTTTGTGTATGTAGAGGTGTGTGTATATATATCAGAGCGATATGTTTATATACGGGTTTATGTATGTATGTGTGTTTATATAAAGTAGTATGTATGTAGGAGTGCATGTTTAAAAATGTGTGTTTGAATTGTGGTGTATGAGCATGTGTGTGTATGTATGCATGTACGTTTTATTTTAATTTTATTTACCATCCATCATTTTGCATTTACGTATACTATGTATTTTGCTGTATAAACATAACATGTTCTGAAGATAAAAAATACAATTAATGTGTGAAAGCTGAGTGGCTAGAAGGGTCAAATATGAGACAGGCCTGCATGTCACATTTTTTACCCTTGAAAAATGAAGTTTAATTCATTTGTTCATTTATCAGAACTTGCCTCTAATCTTCTTTCTTCTTCGCGTTCACCAGCTGTACACTCTGGCGGAAAGTTCTGGTTGCTCGTCCAAAACTGAACTGCAGTCCTGCTCCAGAACCTGAGTGTTGCGTGTGCATCAGTTTTACAGATCTCATTCTCTTGAATACAGACTGTTGGTTCCTTGCCTCTCCGGCAGATGCACTCCGACTTCAAAGGAAACTCCCCAATTAGTCGACTCTTACGACATGCTTTTGGGGAGGCAGTGGGTCTATTCTTGTTTTTCCCACAATGGGGCCCCGGAACCCACACGGGGGTTTGCCTCTAATGACAGTAGACCTGTATAATTGCAGAGACTTTTTATGTCTAGTTGCCAGCTTGTCTGTCTGTCTCTGTGTTTGAATAAGAAACCTAGGAACTCCACTACTAAGAAAAAATAGATCTCCACTAGAAGAAAAGAGACTTCTGAACCCAGCTACTTAAAGAAGCATGTCGTAAGAGTCGACTAATTGGGAGCTTCCTTTAAAGTCGAAGTTCATCTGCCGGAGAGGCAAGGAACCAACAGTCTGCATACAGATTAGTCAGATCTGTCAAACAGATGTGCACACAACACTCAAGTTCTGGAACAGGACTGCAGTTCAAAAGTGGATGAAGAACTAGAACTTTCTGCTAGAGTTTACAGCTGGTGAACGCGAAGAAGGATCTATGTCTGCAAATGTCTACTTTGTATTTGTACAGTCAGTTTAAAATGCATTAAAGATGGTATCTATAAAAAGTGTATCCATTAGTTCTGTCTTTCAATTTTTTATTGTACTGTGCCATTCAGTTGACTGTGTGTTATTGAGATCTGCAAAAAAAAACAAGGTATAGTAAAACAAAACGTAAAAGTCCTTTTCACACCTGTGGCGCATCAGGCATACAAGGCTAGACTAAAGTAAAAGTAAGTAAAGACCCCTTTTCACGCCTTTAGGCATATAGGGCATATGGGAAGAGCGCCCATATTTTTACAGACCATCAGCACTATGTGGGTAATGTGGCCAGCATTACGCTGAGGCTAGACTAATGTTTTATATATATTGATGAGTGATGTGGTCGACATCACGCCATCTGCTTTTTCTCCCCAGGACTTTACCTGGTACCAATTTAAGACTTGGTTGACCAAAGTTGTTGAGGGGGGGGGGGGATCTGGCACCATTCCTATTTGAACCCACAACAAAGAATCGTACAACAACTAAAATCCACATTTCTTCTTCTTTGCGTTCGCTGCTTGTAAACTCGAGTGGAAAGATCTGGTTGCTCATCCACTTCAGGAATTTAGTCTTGTTCCAGAACTTGAGTTTTGTGTGCACATTTATTTTACAGATCTGTCTTATTTGTATGCAGACTGTTGGTTTCTCACCTTTTAGGCAGATGCACTCCAATTTTAAAGCAAACACTCCTAATTAGTCACCTTCTTACGAAAGGTTTGTTAGGGCAGGCAGTAGGTCTGTTCTTGTTTTCCTACATTTGAGCTCAAAAACCCACACAGCAAAAGCCACATATACGAGTTATCATCTTTAAACATTTTAGTTATCTTGTGCATTGTCCTTATGTTTTGCCATCCTATGAGATCACAGATTAGATCATTGCTCTTGTCTTGTATCACCCATGTACATACACATACATTTATCTCTTTGCCTTTCTCTTGCTCTTTTTTCCATCATGCTTGATAACCAAGTGGAGTCCAATCCTTCTCATAACATATCGAAAAGACACTGACTATCTACTTTTAATCTATCTAATCACTTTCATTTATCTTACTGAAGACTGCCTCATCTGTTTTTCTATCATTCTTCTTCTTCTTCGCGTTTACCAGGGAAGCCATGACCTCTTCACAGGCACGCAAAAGCTTTATAGTTAATTTCCATGTGTGGGTTCTGGGGCATTATTATAGGGAAAACAAGAAAAGACCTAATGCCTACCCATAGTAAGAGTCGACTAATTGGGAGCTTCCTTCGAATTCGGAGTGCAAGGAACCAACAGTCTGCACACAAATGAGTCAGATCTAGCATTCGGATGTACACGCAACACTCAGGTTCTGAACAGGACTGCAGTCCAGAAGTGGACGAACAACCAGAACTTTCTGGTGGAGTTTACAGCTGGTGAACATGAAGAAGAAGATAATTAATTAATTTAACCCAGATATGAATAGTCATACTTTTACTTAGGTTAGGGCGCTGTGGAAAAATTTTAATTGAAAAAAGGAGCCACAACTAAGAAACGTTTGGGAAACACTGGTCTATGCAGATTTTTCTTTAACGGGTTCTCCTGCAGGGGTACAGGGCATGCAAGACTTTGTGTTTAGGCCAGAGGTGATAAGATTGCAATGGTTATTATAAGGGGGAGAGGTTTGTGTCGTAGTGGGGATGCTAGACCCATGTTTTCTATGTTAATCAGCAATCTGTGAATAATGTAGTTAACCCTATGCTGGCTGCCTTTACTACCCATGACATTTCTAATTACTCATTTTATGCTGGGTCGACCTAAAATGGTTACCAGGAGAGCAAAGGCAGTCGGTGTTTTAATGATCACATCACCTGTCAAATCAAGATTGGTATATACCAAAAAATATGGAGTTTGACACAAAATGTCCAATTCACATATGACATTGAAAGCTATTTCATCATTATCATCAGGTGCCTTGCCGACTGGTGTGGACCATCATGACTCTCCATAATCTACGATCTCCTGCAGCATGTATCAGTTTGTGTGCCGACACACCTCCATGTCA